AATGAACATCTTTTTCTCCTTATTATTAACATTGGCATGTATAACACTTATAATGTGTATAAAATATTTTTACACATATTATCTCATTTTATCCTTAAAATAACACTGTGAATTATATAAAACCCTCTAGTTTTCAGGTCAGGAATCTGCACTGACCTTACTCATTTTTATCAGAACCACCCTCTCCTTCTTATCCAATTTTACATCACTTAGCTACCTTTTCTAATAGATACAATGGATACAGAACTCCAAAAGATCTGACAGAAGTCCAAAAGATATGAGTTCAAATCTGACCTTAGACACTTGCTAGCTATGTATCCCTGGACAAGCTATTTAATATCTGTCTGCCCCAGTTTCCTCACTTATAAAATGGGGGTGATAATAATTGCACAGACCTTGCAGCGTTGTTGAGACAATATTTACAAAGTGCTTAGCACTGTGCCTTGCATATAGTAGGTGCTATAGACATGTTACCTGCTGTTGTTGTTAGGCTTAACTATCTGCTGGCGGCAAATTCTGCAAATTCTCTCATCGATAGATTCCCATGGAAACCAAATTAGAAGACTAGAAATGGCATTAGAATATATTCATTTAGGCAAGGAGTAGTAAGGCAGAGGGGTGCATTCTATTTCTTGATTCACTTTTTGATCACTTCTTTACTAATTTACTTCCCTAAGGATCCATCTACATAGGCTGGTTAGTATTGTGACAGCTTGTCACATAGGGTAGTGGTTTTATGGAAAGAGCAATGGATCTGAAATCAGATGGGACCTTGGGCAAGTTACCCAACTTATCTCGACCTCATCATTATTTTAACAAAAGGGGATTGAACTAGATACAACCTTTATGATTTTCCCAGGGGAGGTGAGTTAGTGTAGAATTTCTTTAGAGGTTAAATTGCTGTCAATTTACATATGCCAATCAGGCAGTCCCCAGAAAACTCCCTTTTTAAGGCATTCTGCGGTGATGAAAAATTTAGGACACCTTTATCTTAGCATTAGATTGTGAATCCAAAAGTTAAAGTTTTTCAAAGCATGTGACTGAATTCCAGAACTGGGGGAACTCTTGAAACCCAGAGGATAAGTAATAAAGACAGAAAAGAAGAGGAGTGAAGAGTGTCAGCAACAAATTGTGTCCATATTCTGTGTTAACTTGTGAGCACAAGTCCAGCTTGGCAGATGTAGAAAGATTAAGAAAGATCATGTTTTTATAACACATCCTTGAAACATTTTACTAAAATGAACAATTAAAGTCACTTTGATTGAAAATTTGTTTTTTAGGAATTATTTTTACATTTTACATCTACATGATAAAAAACAGAGGCAATTTCCTAAGACAGGGAGTCCCACAAAATATGAGCCCCATGCTTCCAAATATTGCCTGTTACCTTTTGAAAACAACCCCTTTTCTGATCCCATAATGAAAAACAATCAAAGTGACTGGTGTTCCTAGCAGAACTTGATTACTCATTTAAAATACACCATAGGAATCTTAGTTCCAAATTCCCCATCCCCCTCAATCCAGGTGGGAGACATGGTCTAGCCAAATGGTAATAATATTTTAAGTGTTCTCCTACAGATAGTGCTTAGGAGCACAACACACAAGTATCACTTAAGAAATTGACATGAAAGGTAACCTGGAAAGAAAACTAAGCTTTCCATATACAGACAAAGATAAAATCGTTCTACTGCCAGGAAGATTCGGCATCTTTAAAAATGCCTTTTCAACCTTGAACTTTTGTCTGCTTGTTACTACAGAAACCATCTAGCAACCAAAATCAAAAAGAGACTCCACCCAAAACAAAGTGAAACAAAGCAGATACCTCACTGTGTGTGTATGTGTGTATGTGTTAAGAAAAGATTCTTAGTGTTCAAAGAAAGAAACCCTTTTGGGGGGGGGGGGGTTTGAAACAGAAAAAGCTCCGATTACAGATGGCAAAAAGGAAAGTAGTGTGTGAGTAATGAGCAATGAGAAATGCGTAATGCGGGATGAGAGTAGAGTTTCCACACACCAGCTAAAGCAAGGTTTACACTCTTAAGCAATAAAAACAAACCATTAAGCCAGTCCAGCACTGTCAGGAAGTATAAAACAGTTCTTGAAACTTTGCAGTTACTATACAAAAGCTTTTCATAAACTTCGTTTCCTGATCTTCATTAAATGCTAACATCAAGCTACCATATGGCAATTAGCTGCCTCCTGAAATCAATAAAAAATCAACAATTTAGAAATAGTTGTACAGTAAAATAGTTCAATAATTATTCTCTCCTAGTGGTGTGGCAAAGTGGTTCCAGTGTAAATATAGTCCAGATGAAGTCCTGGTCCTTAATGCCCCAAGTAAATCAGTAGCTTTCATATAGACTTCATCAAAACTAATGAAGAATAAAAAGCCATCAGCAAGCAGTGCATGGGGATGGAAATCAAAGGTGAGCTGTGTACCTGACCTGACATTTTCAATATGTCATCAGTGCTAATAGCTAGCACAGTACAAAGTACATAGGTAGGTGTTCCAGGCAATATTTGTGGACTTCAATTAAATGACAAATCTGAATATTAAAAAAAAAGTTACTCTACCCAGTAGTTAAGATGTTTGACAACCACATATGACCAAATGAATGTGTTATTCAATTACCCATTAGAGGAGGTGAGTCTTTTGGCTTTTGGATGGGGATTTTGTTTCCTTCCAAATGAAAGATATTTTTAAAAGGTACATCCCAGAAGATTCACAGTAGTTTCAAAACGGGCATATGGAATAAATAGGAATAGAAAATCATGTCTCTAAATCTTCACATTTTAGGAAATCAGAGAATGTTAGAGCTGGAAGTGACCTTAAACATCAATTAGTCCAATCTCCTCATTCTACGGAGGAGGTAACTTAAACACAGAGAGGTTAAGTGATTTGCCCCAGAGTTATACAATTACTGATAGAACTAAAATTCCAGCCTTTTGAATCCTGCCCCCAACCCTCCTCATCCTTATTCTCATTTCATTCTAACAGGGAAATTCAATTCTACCGCTGCTTCTGAGGAGATTTAATATATTCTTAAGTACTTGCCCATGTTTTCTAAGCCAATGTGGCATCAAGCCCTGCAAATAAAGGCTTTTCAAACGTCTATTACCTGTGTTAAAAGTTTCATATCGACCCGGAGGCTCTCATTGGTGCTTCACACACACAGTGAGCAGCCATAAAATGTTGTTACTAAATTCTAGCCTCAATTTTAGGATAAACAAATGCTTCAAAGTATGACTTCTATTTGCCTCCTTCAAAAGGGAAAAAAAAAACTCTTCATTCAAATGTCTGGCATCAGGATCACATAGAATAAGTTCAGTGAGGCTAACTTGAGTGTTAAACTTTAAAAAAAAGTACACAGTAAAGACTTGCACCTGCTCCTCTCTCCACAGAGATGTACTGACATGCATTTTGCGAAACTGGCTGAAGTACAAGCCCAAGCAAGCAACAAAGCTGATTTTACAAGATAAGCAACTGAGTGTTTTCATGTCTGAGGGTGGGTGGCTAGAACACAAAATTGCCAGTCATTCTCTAGGGGGGAAAATGCCTTTCAAAATATTTGAGGGCATCACTTAAATAGATGGCAAAATACATTCAGATGGCAATAAGCATCTAGGCTAAAGAAAAGGAGTGCTAGGTCTATCAACTGCTCTTAAATTTTAAAGTATGTAAAGCCGGTTCAGTCAGAATTGAAAAAAGTCTATAGGATGTTGCCCAGAAATGTGGCACAAAGATTCCAAGATACCTTGAGATGAACTTTAAGGATAGGAATTGGGGGGGGG